GGACCAAACGAGGCAAGCTGGCACGCTCTTCGTTTCTGGTCTCTTTCTATAGTCAGGCAGGAAGCCCTGGCCAGTCATTTGCCTGTGTGCTCCCAGGCCTATCACCCACCCTTCCTGTGCTCTGTTCTTTGTTGCAGAGAATTATGTTTTGCAAGTTCCTTCACCAGCTTGCTCTTGGTATGTTCGACCGAGGGCAGTGCTAGGGAATGAATATTTGTGCTCACCCCGTTCATGTTCTGATTTGGGACTTCCCAGCCTCCAGAACTATGAGAAATGTGTGCTTGTTGTAGAAGCCATCAGGTCTAGGGCATTTTTGTTATAGGAATACTAATAGGTTGGACACGGAAGTGCTGTCTGTGTCTTCTCCCCAGATTCTGCCTCCATGGCCCCAGTTCTGGTGGACTCCACCAAGGTCAGGCTCTCGTGGCCCCCCGTCTTTGTGCCTTCAGCTGTTGCTGCTTGTTTTCAGAGTGCCTCACCATCCTCTGTTGGGCTTTTTAGCCTTTGTTCCCAGTGTAAAAAACTCCCTGTATTATTTTGGCTCAAATGATTACATAGGTTTTTGTTTTCCTGACTGAATTTTGAGTAACGCAAACCCCAGATATACTTAATTTGAGATTATGGTCTAAGAAAACTTGTTTTTGCTGGTCAATATAACTCTGAGATCATTCTTTTCTTTTCATTCATAAAAAAACAAGTTGAAACACTAGTCCCAGTCTTTATAAAACCCCCTCGGGACTTGACTGTTTGTTGCTTGTTTGACTAAGGTGACTTCTCCCTCCCTTCTTAACAGTGTTTGTTTTCTAAAGCAAAGAAGCAAGGCAGGGCGTGGTTGTGCACCCTGTAACCCCAGCTGTCCAGAGGCTGAGGCATGAGGATCATAAGTTCAAGCCCAGCTTGGACAATTTAGCAAGACCCTGTCTCAAAATAAAATGGAAGAAAGGGCTGGGCATGGAGCTCAGTTGAAGAGCACCCCATGGTTCAGTCCCCAGTACCAAAAATCAGTCGGTCAGTCAATCAAACTTAACAAATCCAGAGGACTTGACTGAGAAGCTCAAATATAAGGATTGCTTTGGATTATGCCTTTTATTTTTGATACCAGGGATTGAACTCAGGAGCACTCGACCACTGAGCCACATCYGCAGTCCTGTTTTGTATATTATTCAGAGACAGGGTCTCAATGAGTTGCTGAGTGCCTCACCATTGCTGAGGCTGGCTTTGAACTTGACATCCTCATGCCTCGGCCTCCCAAGCCTCCAGGATTACAGGTGTGCATCACTGCACCTGGTTTATGCCATTATTTTTGAGGAAAAGTAGAGGTGTATGAATTGTAAAAAGGAGGGATCATTTATTTGACTACAGCCATGCTACTTTTGTCACCTTAGAATGGGTACAAAGTTAAATTTTCAGTACATAAAAATGCATGAATTAATACCCACCTAAAGGTACAAGATACAGGGGCATTTAGGGGAAGTAGAGACTAATTCTGGGACAAGAAACAAAGCTTTTTGCTTCATCTTCCACCATGGCAACCTGCTAGTTTCCAAAGCAGCACTTCCTCTGCTTTTCATTGCCTACCTGGATCCTACTGGTTAATTAAGTCCAGAGAAAGGCCATCCATGCCTTCAAAATAAGTACTTCCTTTTAGCTAGATGATAGTGTTTAGTATAATATKGTTATTACAATTGGCAACACCCAACAAGTGATTTGACTTGCTGCCTTTAGATTTCCTTGAGTGGCTATCGATGACATCATTGCTATGTTAACATTACGATTGTCGAAAGGATTAAACGAGACATGCTTGTGGCTGGCATATAGTAAATATACGGAAATTGCTGGCAACTTTTATATAATATCAGTCATCATCTAACATTTATTGAGCATGGTGTGGGAGTGTATTTTGTGTTAAGAATTTGACCTAAGCGTGGTCAAGGTCATAAAAATGCTGAAAGATGGAGCCAAAACTTGAACCTAATCTGTTTGATGATAACTTATTTTCTTAAATCCTATGTTATCTGGAGTCCCATATTACTGACAGAAGGCATTGGAAATGTATTAGCTGTAGCATGGTGATCAAAAACCAAAACATGGTGATTAAAACAAACAAACAAACCCACTTTTGGATTGGTTCCCTCCATCAGCAGTGTTTCTTGAAAGCTCATTGTGTAAAAAGCTCTCTGTAATGAAGTTTTCAGGACAAAGAAATAAGGCACATGATCTCTGTGAAATGTGGCTGAACCAGTCTCACAAAACACAGGTTGAACATGTGTGTTAACCTGATGTAGGTGGAATGCACGTGGACAAGGGAGAGAAGAGGAGCCTTCCATAGTGGTTCTTGCAGGCTTACCTGATTCACGAGACAGGGTTTGGTACCTAATAGATGGCTGGGTTTAAACCTTAGTTTTGCCTGTTTTTGTAGCACGACCTGGAGTATGTTTCTCTACCTCTTTGAGCCTCAGTTCTTGTGTATGAAAAGGAGATAGTGATGGTGACCTCACAGAAGTACTGTGAAGGGCCAGAGTTGTTTCTGATAAGCGTGTGTTGTCAATTCTAGTTCATGAGTACATGACCATGCAGGGAATGTCAGCATGCTCAACTCCAAACAAAGAGCTCTTAGGCTTTTAGATCTGGCACTTGTCAATTTCCTACTAGGTCTCTCCTCTCCCCCATTCTCCTCATAATTTTCTGGTTATCTGGCAACTGCACAAAAGGAAATCACATGTAGCTGCTGCTGTGAAATACCCAGAAAGTCATCTTTGAGAAAAACCAGCACTTCCAAGTAAAAACAATGACACTCAGTTCATGGGGAAAAAATCAACAGCAACAAAAAACTCCTCTGGGATTAGTCACATCCTGAAGACCCAGAGAGGTTTATGATTACTTGGTGAACTCACTAAAGCGCTGTGAAATCAAATGCTTCCAAATGGTGAATTGATGAGGATAGAGAGAGCACTGCAGTGGGTGAGGACTGGGGGGGGGGGCGTGGTGTGGGAGTGGGAGTGTATGCTCCTGGGGCCTGGGACGTCCAGTGGGCAGGGAGAGGACGGAGGATGTAGGACCCAACATTCCTGTCCATAGGGCTGGATGAGCATCTCCCATCCAGTCTCCACAAGCCTGAARTGACTCTGAACCTGAGGCCCTATAGACTCATTCCAGCAACTTCCCAAGTCCTGTCTTTGCTTTGAACCATTGACCAATGTTTGGGCCAGGGCACTCTTAAGTTCATTAAGTGATTTTTCCAGAAGAGATTTTGTAAGATAACTGGTCCATTGGCCATGCAAAATCTAAGGTATTGTGATTTGTTAAAAGTTTGTTAAACTAATTTTAAATTGGTTAGTGCATTTTGTTCTAGAAAAACGTCTTTCTCAGTCCCGTGAGTACCGTGTAGTTTCTTTCGCAAGACATCCATGTGATGGAAGTGGAAACTTGTGCCATTTTATGAGCTGTAGGAGGAACCTGCATTTGAGTGACAGAAAAAGGAAGAACAGGTGGAAATTTCTGGATGTGATTACAACTTTAGAAACCACCAGTATTCATGATGGTAACACGGGCCCTTTTTAAAGTTGAGTAGGCTTGAGATTCTACTAGAACAGTGTAGAGAATTAAAAAAGGTCTGAGATCAAATGGACAAAGATCCCAGATGGATCCTGGAGGGAACTATTGGGTGCTGTCTCCACCACCAGCTGTGTCACCTGTAACTTCTTTAAGCATTAGTTTCCTCATTTGAATAATGCTACTAATAGTCTTGTAAGTTATTTAGTCAGCTGTTAAAGGTCTTCACAAATATTTAGATAGCTACCTAAATGTACATCTATACTATGATGATCTTACATTGAAATTTTATTCATCTTTAAGCAAGTGATTCTGTTGTCAAACTGTGATACATCAGAGCCAACATATTCATGGAGGGGAATACTCCTTGCTTCAGTGGCAAAAATATGAATGACTTTAAGGGTTAGAGCTCAAGTTACATTTCTCCTATTTTCTGTCCAATTTGGAAAACTGTGATCAGGTTTTTAAAAAAGGGGCAAATCATCTCCTGGAGGAAAGGGACACTGGGAGCTGCATGTACATGGAGTTGTTCTCTCCTTGTATCCAGATGTTAAGATCCTCCTGCCTGTCAGTTTACAAGCTTTCTGTTGGTTGACTGCTGCATGCTGAGGGATGAGGTGGATAGACCCTGTGGGTGCTGCTCTCTATACATCTGCCTGCACTGAAGAGGGGCTGTTGTGCCTTGAGGAGGGAGCTAAAGTAGCACTTACTGTGCACACGGCGGTGCCTGGTGGTGGTGTTCTGTTCAGGAGTGACGTGCTGCTGGAAATATTTCATGACACCCCGTTGAACAATCTAGAGCTTTAACATGCACAGAAATGGTCCATGGTTCTAGCTTCTGAGCCCTGATCAGCTGTGGGAATCCGGTTGAGATCTTTCACTGGAACCCGTGCCCAGGACAAACTCTGCTGTCTCCTGAGACAACCATTGTTCATTCTCTTTCTCTCCCCCTCTCCATCTGTTATCTTTATCTGTTTCTGTCTTTTTCTTCCTCTTCTTCTCTCTCAAAGTATTTTCCTTGCCCTTTCGCTCCTTCCTTTTCTTCTCCCCACCCCCACCCTTTTCTGTCCTCACTTTTTGGGCTAAGGAGGGATCTGCCTGATGAGGTCTGCTGGTATCTTCCCTCTGATGTTCTCCTGGATTTTCCTGACCTTCTTGACTCTGGCCTGAACCATGCCATTCAAGAGGGGCGAACACTTCCCTTTCAGGGAGAAGGAGGATGGATTTTTAATGACTGTTCTGTTGAGACTAGTTTCTCTCTCTATGGAAAGGGTGCTTATCTCTCTATGGAAAGGGTGCTCACTGGGCAGCTAAGACTTGAAGTCATCATCTCCTTCCCCAAGCCCACCGGGTGGCAGTGTCACCAAGAAGCTCTGCTGAGCATTCCCCTCAGCTGTGGATGTAGTCTTTCTCTTTGATGATGAAGGCTGTTGTCTTTCTGATTGTAGATCGAGGAGACTCGGCTCAACATTGACAAGATCTCAGAGCATGTGGAGGAAGCAAAGAAACTCTACAGTATCATTCTGTCTGCACCAATTCCAGAGCCAAGTGAGTGTTTACTCAGCTGAGTCACCCAGTGGTGACCTTTTGCATGGGGCAGAGGCATTCCTGTTTTCCTCGCCTCTGTGAACAGCAGGGAGGTGTCCACATTGCCCTGGATAATGTCCACACCGTATCACCTCTTTGATTTCTTTACCTTATCTGAGTTCTCACTGCCCAGCCGTCAGGTCTTCCCTATATGGTCCCTCTTGAACCACTTACCCAGTCTCTCCTCTGCTTCCCAGCTGGACCCTCCTGTGGCTGGCAGTGACTCTTACTGCTGCCTACATACTCCATGCTCTGTCCCCCCTGTCTGCCTTCTCTACTTTTCCTCCACCTGAAATGCTTTTCCCAGCCCCCTTTCTCAATCCCACCAGATCAAGTCCACCTTTCCCATGCGGTGGTCACCACGTAGGGTTCAGTTTCATAGGACTCCTGTTCCTAAGCTTTTTTTTTTTTTAATTTATTTTTTTTAACCACCACAGAGGCAAACCTTTGTTCCTCTTAATAGTAGGGGGAATACATTTTGAGAGTAAAATTTAGGGCTCCATTTCCTGTTCCTTAAGAACAGGGGCAAGCCCAATTCTGTCATTTCACTCTACTTTTTTTCAATGACTATTACCTCAAGATTAAAGTTGGAACATTTTAGCAGAGCATATGGGAATCGTGTGGGTCGGGTTCCTGCCCTCCTCTCTACCTTTTCTCCCACTCTGCATGTTCCCATGTTACTTATACTTTAGTCAGACTGAATTCTGTTCTCCAAATATTTGTTATTCCCTCTTGTATATTGTGCCTGCTCCTTGGGGCTCCAATGCCAATCACCTTCACTACCCGGTTAACCCTTAGTCCTTCTTTGAGACTCTGTCCTACTTTCCTCATCTTTAGAAACTTTCCCAGATCCCTATCAATCCCTAGCTGTGCCAGGGAGCCCTTTATAACCACCTCGTCAGAACTCCAGCCTACTCCAAACTGTATGAAAGGGCTGTTAGTTTATTTTGCTCCCACCCCTCTCTAGACTTCGAGCATCTTGGAGGCAGATTCTACATCTTCTTTCTGATTCCTTAGTTTCTAGCCCCATTCCAAGCTTGTAGTGGGGTGCTAAGGATGGTTTTTGAATGTATGGTCATAGCTAACATCCAGGATAGTCCTGGGAATGGAGTAGGTGTATCAAAAATACTTGCTTCATTCTAAGTTGATGAACCTTGACTGATATCTCTTTCACCTAGAATTCCCACAGAATTCTCTCCTATCCTGTGAGATTAAGCCCTCATCATAAACCAGGTGGTTTCCTCTAAAAGAAAAGTTCTCAAAACTGACTTGGGGAGGTTTGTTGAAAAAGCAGATTCTGGGGCTTAAACCCTGGGTATTTTCTCTGTACATCTGGAAAATGGTAACTGGAGAATTCCTTTTATTTTAATCAAATATTAATTTTGGGGGTTGCAGGGGATCGAACCCAGGGCTTCATGCACAGGATCTAGCGTTGAGCTATACATCCAACCTGAAAATGCTTTCTAAAAATAAGCTCTCTGATTCTAATGATAGATTCTGGGAAACACACTAGGATAATACTGTTGAGAGCAGTGGGTGCCTAAGCTCCCACACCCTTTGCTGATGGTTGTAAAAGAAGTTAGTCCTTCCTTTTCTAATGGCTTCTACCTCCTCTGTTTACCCAGAAACCAAGGATGACCTTGAGCAGCTCACAACCGAGATCAAGAAAAGGGCCAACAATGTCCGGAACAAACTAAAGAGTAAGAAGGGAACAGGGGAACAAGCTGACCCCTGCCACCATCCACTCAGCTCCCTGCATGTACCTCCTCTGAACTGACAGTCACCTGGATGAAGTGACTTATGGTTTGGGCACTGTCCCTGGAGTGACCTATGGCAGCCCTAGAAAGTCCCCTTCTCTTGAATCCTGACTGTAGTTGAAAGAGTCCAGAATTGAAGTTAGGAGATGGGAGCTGGAATGTGCTTCAGCTACTGGCCTGGTCCTTTTGCTCAGTCCATGGGTGTATTCTTATTGGTTCTGTTTCCCCAGCATCAGCCGACATTGGAATAGTAATTTTAGACATACATACACACAGGATTTATTCAGTCCACAGATGTTTCTTGGTGGGCACCTTCCATTGCTGCCCACCACCTATTTCAGAGCATAGATTCAATTATTTTGGGGAACAAAGGGTTTCCACAGTTCCATGGCTGCAGTCTGTATGCTTGCTCAAAGAACTTGGTGAGTACGTGCAGTTGCTCAGATGAGAAAGCAGAATCACTGAGCCTAGCTTGTCATTTCTTCCCCCCAAATAAATTACAGTAACTATTGTAATGGGTGTGGAAAGGGGGTTGTTGGAAGCAGCTTCCAAAAATAATAATGATAGTGTGGTTACCGCTGTGCTAATAAGCACTTTATGTGCATTCTCATTTAGCCTTCATGTTGGTACTGTGAGGAATGTACAAGTTGAGCTTCCCTAATTTAAAAATTCAAAACCCAGAATGCTCTAAAATCTGAAACATTTTGAGCACTGATATGACCCAAGTAAGAAATTCTACACCTGGCTTTATGTGAAGGATCCCAGTCCAAAAACAGAAGCACTAAAAATATGACGAAAAACCCTTTAGGCTGTGTTTATAAGGTGTGTAAGAGAGAAAAGAATTTTGTGTCCTAACCCCTAGATATCTCATTGTGTGCAGGCAAATATTCCAAAATCCAAAAAATCTGAAATCCAAAACATTTCTGCTCCTAAGCATTTCAGGTTAGGGGTACTCAACTAGTATTGGCATTTGTGTCATTTTATAAACAAGAGAATAAAACATAAGAGAGTATAAGTGACTTTCCCAAAGTCACAGAGCTGGTCAGCAGCAGGGCAAGGATTTGAGCTAGACTCTTGGTGACCAAGACTCAGACCTGGTATTGTGTGGTAAAGGCTAATGAAAGCAGCTCACATGAGCTGACCTTGAGGATTATCCTCCCTGTCGTTCCCCCTTCATGGGTGTTGTGTGTGAGCATGCGGGGGGAGGTATGTTTCTTAGAAGGAAGAGGAGATGCATTGCCGGAATGACCTTCTTCTCATTCCAGGTATGGAGAGGCATATTGAAGAAGATGAAGTCCGCTCATCAGCAGACCTTCGGATTCGGAAATCTCAGGTAAAGTTGTCCCTGATCTGACAATCATCTTCTCCAATTCTTATTTTCTTTCTTTTTCTTAAGCTGTGGAGTCTTTTTTAACAAAAATTACAATTCTTATTTGGAACTCGATATGAAAAACTGCTAAAGTCGAACTATCCAGGTTGAAGCAGGGGTCATGGCTAGAGTCCAGCCCCTTTGGGCCCTTTTCTCACAATCTCCTTCTCTAAGGGGGGCCTTAAGAACTTCCCAAGACTCCCCAAAGCAATGTTAGTGCCTCCTTGTTTCACAGGCAAAGAAACGGAGGTCTTTTTTGAAAAGACTGTTAGTCATTAGTTCAGTTTGGAGCCAGGAACTTTGGGGATCATCTGTATCCTTCAGGAGCTGCATGACATTCAAGTGGCCGTGGAACAAGTATCCAGCTGGAAACAAGTGAGGAAGAGCAAGAGGCTGGTGAATCTCTAGTCAGTTTTACAGTGACTGAATTTGCCTGGTGGTAGTGGATTTGGATAAAATAGAGATAATGGTGATTTTGCAAAGGCAAACAAATAAGGCTTATTTCTGAGAGGTAGGCAAGGAGTAAAAGTTATTATGAAGGTTTGAGCTGAAGCATCCAGGGCTACTAGAGAATGTATCTACCAATAAGTACAGAAAGTTGGGGGTGACAAGTTAAAGTAAGAACTCCAGAATCTTCGGTAGCATGACTTGTGGGAAGGGAGGCTGACAGCTTTAGAAAACAAGCCAGGGGTGTGCCAGAAAACTTCTACTAATCCAGGTAGTTGTAGGGCTCCAGGATTCCCAGAGATGGTCTCCTTTTGCCTCTTAATTACCATGTGAGGTCAGGAGGGTAGACAGATACTGCAACCATGCTTTGGAATAGCAGTAGACTTACCCAGTGATCCAAGTTAGGAAGTAAAAAAAGTATCGTACTTGGTCTTTTGAGTCCCAGCCTAGTGCTGCTGTAGACGAGGTTGTGGAGGGTGGGGTGGGGAAGGGAAGAAACTCTGTAGCAATTGTGTACCTTTTCCCTCCCTCACTTCCGGGGGACATACTCATCCAACATTGTTCCCACAGCACTCCGTCCTCTCTCGGAAGTTTGTGGAGGTGATGACCAAGTACAATGAGGCTCAGGTGGACTTTCGTGAACGCAGCAAAGGGCGAATCCAGCGGCAGCTTGAAATTAGTATGTGTTTAAGGTTTGGTGACCCTCCTCCCTCTTTTCCTACTATGTGATTGTCCATTCCATATTGTGACACTGTAGGAGAACAAGCAGCAAGCACMCCTGCTTGTGGCTTCTGCTTGATATTTTGTGCCCAATCTCAGAGCAGATGTTACAGCATTGGCACATCCTGCATCTTGGAAAAGGTGGCACATGGTTGTCAGGTCCAAGTCATTTTATCCCTGTGGAGTCCAGCACTTTTTCATCCTAGAGGGGAAGCACCTGCTTCCCCTCGTTTTTGCTGTCAAGTAGCAAAGCACATTTGTGAAATAAGAGCATGGTGCAGGTTGCCGTGAGGAATAAGGACATGCATAAAGCTGTGCCCTTTAGGAACTTGTGATATGGAAGTCAGGGCCCTTCAGGGTGAGTGTGCTTCAAGTGGGATGAACTGTATGAACAGGCATGCATGTGTTTAGGTCGTAGGCCATCGGGGGTCTGGGAAAAAGGGTGTGTTTGGAGTGGCAGTGTAAGGTTAAGATGGTCGAGGGAAGGCTTCCCATGAACTGTACATTGTAAGGAAGGCCTTGAAGTCTGTAGCATAAAGCATGAGGTTAGTACACAGCCCAAACTGGGAAGTGATGTGAGCACCATGATCTGTACTTTAGGAAAGGAGCTGCTATTTCTGTTATGGATGGATTGGATGAGGGGAGGAATCAGAAGAAAAAATCGCAAGGTTTTGGGGGCAGTGTTGTAGAGACCCTGGTCTTTAGAATGAAGCAACCAGATTCCTAATTTTCAGGAAACTTCAAAAATGGAGTTCTGCTTTGATCTTGAAATTGATGCTCTACTTCTTTTGTTATAAAGCTGGCAAAAAGACAACGGATGAGGAGCTGGAGGAGATGCTAGAGAGTGGCAACCCTGCCATCTTCACTTCTGGGGTGAGTCATGTGGCCTGGAAAGCTTCACCTGGTCTAGCAAACACAGGATACGCTGCAGTTGCAGGGACATAGGGGATGTGAGGAGCCCACCTGGGTGTGTATGAGGGCAGCTGCAGGGGCAGCCTTGATTGCAGGGGAGGCTGATGGCCTGTCTGTGTGGCCTGTTGCAGATCATCGACTCGCAGATTTCCAAGCAAGCCCTCAGTGAGATCGAGGGTCGGCATAAGGACATTGTGAGGCTGGAAAGCAGCATTAAAGAACTTCATGACATGTTTATGGACATCGCCATGCTGGTGGAGAACCAGGTAACTGGCAGGGACGGAGGAGAGGAAAGCTCAGGTTCCCATGAGAACAGCGGAGGAAAGGCATAGTGGAAGTCAGGTGACGAAGGGTGAACCAGGGAACTGCATACCAGGAGCAGAATTCCATAGCTCAAGGAGGTGCGCATTCTCATCAAATGCTGGCACCTTGGRCCGCCTCAGCCTTGTCTTTCTTGCCCGTTACTTGACTTAACAGTCATTGCTAGCTGACACAGAGTCTGATGTGCTATATCAAATGCCTAGTTCACCCAGCCTCAGGATTTTTTTTCCTTCTTTTTAAAAAATTTTTTTTCAGTTGTAGTTGGACACAATACCTTTATTTCACTTATTTATTTTTATGTGGTGCTGAGGATTGAACCCAGAGTCTCACACGTGCGAAGCGAGTGCTCTACCGCTGAGCCACAACCCCAGCCCCTCTTTCTTCTTTTTTTCAAATTAGAGATAGGGCTTCTTGGTGATGGCTTAAACAGTCTCCTCATGTGAGACTAATGACGTTGAAAATGTGTTCTTTTATCCAGTTAACAGTGACAATTTAGTGAAACCTAAAGAGGATTTTTATTCTTTTTTTTTTCACCTGTGTTTTTCTGAAAATTTGGCAATTTTGTGTTAAGGAACAAGAACAAACATAAGGGAAAAAATAGTAAAAGAATAAGAACAGGAAAACTCAGGGTGCTGAGTTTGGTAGGGTGCTGAGGATTGAATTCTGTATTACCTGCATGTGGGGTTAGCGTCACAGCACCAGATGGTCCCGAACTCTTAGGACACAGATATATATGCCACAGGGTCATAGTGCTGTGACACGTTTACCAGGATTTCTAGATGCTCTGCCACCTGGATAGGATTGGAGACTGCTTCGTAGGAAGACAGTGCAAAACTTAGGTGAAGCCTGAGTGTGTCTAGCTATTTCTGACATTAGTTCTCTGCTCTGGGCCTGATTCTGCGCCCCCCTCCTTCTGGTTTTGAGACCATTTCTCAAGTCCCTTCCTCCCCACTTTCTTTTTTCACCCCACACTGCCTTGCCGAGGAATGGGTTTGAGATTCAAGTGATGGTAAGTGCCTTGCTCTGTTCACAGTGGGCCAAACGTGATGGGGTTACACTGAGGAAGTCCTGGGGAAATGAGAGTAATTTCCATTCTCAGACACACAGGAATTAACCAGAATGGCCAAACATCCATGTCAGGAAGTAATAGTTGGGCAACATTTGAGAATCTTATTATGAAACAACCATCTAGGAAGGAAGATATACCCAAACAGCTTGGGTAAACCCGATGTCTGACCTTAGGGACCTGGGGATTTCTCTTGGAGAAAGCAARTGTTTCCAACCTCATACTTATTGCATACCTACTGTGTGCCAGGCACTACTCTACAATATTGAGCAAGGTCAGTGTGTGCTGAATGAACTTTCAGGTCTGAATGACCAGGAAGAGGCCAGTACACTGGTGATACTCTGAAAACATGAGATATATAGCTCCTCCCCATATACTTAATTGAGAGAGAGACAGAGAGAGAGAGAGAGAGAGAGAGAGAGAGAGAGAGATAGATATGGGTGAGGGATCCCTCAAGAGTATATTCATATATAGTTAACAGGCATCTAGACAGTCTGCTGCACATGTCCAGCACAGTGCTGGTTATAGAGAAGTAGTTCAATGAACGTCCCTTGAATGAGTGACCCCCATCAAGGCTGTGAAGTACAGGTAGTCACATGGGAAATGCGAAGATGTGACCTACAGAAGGTGGAGTTGCAAGGTTTCTCGGTGCTCCTCTTCCCTAAAGGTTCTGAGTGGCTAGGGCTGTTCTGGATAGGTTAACTGGGTGTGACTAGTGTCTATTCTCTGCAGGGCGAGATGTTAGATAACATAGAGTTGAATGTCATGCACACAGTGGACCATGTGGAGAAGGCACGAGACGAAACTAAAAGAGCTGTGAAGTATCAGGGTCAGGCCCGAAAGGTGAGATTCTCCTGCTACCTTCAGAGAAGGGTCCATTTTGTTCGCTGTCTCTCGCTCTTTCTCTCTTCCCTCCTCCTGTCTCTGTTTCTGCTGCTGCCTCCTCTTGCACCTGGGGAAAGGGAACCATGATTGACCGGATTGAGAACAACATGGACCAATCAGTGGGCTTTGTGGAGCGGGCCGTGGCAGATACCAAAAAGGCTGTCAAGTATCAAAGTGAAGCTCGGAGGGTGAGCGCCTTATCCTCTGCTGGTGGTACTTTTCTCTCCTCTCTGGTCACCCCCACCTGTGTCTCTGAGCCCGTGCCTTTGAGCTCTGTCCTTGCCTCATCRTACCCTCCTTCCCTCAGCCATTCCTAGAGACTAGCTGCTCACCCTTCCTTCCTAGTGTGCCTTGCATGGATCTGGCTCACGTGCTCTCTACCCAAGAACATGCTCAGCAGGCAGCTCTGCAGGACAGGTGCATGGTCCAGGTCTTGCTGCTAGTCCTGTCCTGGATGTAGCTCATGAACCTTTCAGACACTACACTTGCCTCTTCTGTTCTTCCGACTCTTTCTTTTCATTGTCTTCCACTCCAGTAGCCCAAGCCCGGCCCACTTTTCTTTTTTTCTGTCTCATACCTTGCACTGTGCTAATTGCTACGTACATATCTCATAGCTATGGAGGCGTCTATTTTTTCTACTTTTAGATGAAACAATTGAGGGCCAGAAGTTAAGTAACTGGCTTCAGGTCATCTAGTAAATACAGGAGCTGGGACTCAGATTCAGATCCCAATCATGCTTTTTCCACTAAACCTTGGTGTTTGCATACTCTTCTGGGCCTTGGCTGCTCAAGGACTTCTAAGATGCTCTACTCATTGAGTGTGGGTATCCAGTTTTGGGAGCTTCTTCCATTTACTAATTTTATTTCTCATGGGCTCTGATATTTTTGTTCTTCAATGCCTTTTCTTCCAACTGCATCTATTGCTTATGCTGGTACTTAGGGAGCTGGAAGTTATTTTATGAGGTGAACCCATTCAGTATACTGGGTCTGATAGGTAGAGGTGGACTTTAGGGGACAGATGAAAAGAAGTTAGAAATTAGGATTAAGCCAGTTGTGGTGGCACATGCCTGTAATCCCAGTGGCTCTGGAGGCTGAGGCAGGAGGATCTCGAGTTCAAAGCCAGCCTCAGCAATGGCGAGGCACTGAGCAGCTCAGTGAGACCCTGTCTCTAGATAAAATACAAAATAGGGCTGGGGATGTGACTTAGTGGTTGAATACCCCTAGTTCAATCCCTAGTATTAAAAAAGAAAAATTAGGACTCTATAAAAATGTTTTTATACTCCCTCTTGAAAAGGAATGCTTAGTCACTTTATGTCTTGGATAATTGCTACTTGGAGACCCCATGGTGGTGTCTCTTACTACATTTGTCCACATTTACAAGACTGTAGTGTGAACTGAGAGCTAATACAAGCTCCATATTTCCATCTGCTGGCATTGTTAGTCTAGAAGTAATTTAAGAACCGTGAAATATCCTAACTGATATCCTTATATAGAGTTGTAAGCTGCTGCTGCTTCTTTCTTCTTTCTTTTTTTTTAAAAGGAAAAAGATGATTTATTGCTTTGCTAGCAAAGGAGAAACACAGGGGACTCCTGTCCCAAAGGCTGTGTTACTGAGATGTAAGCTGATTATTTGGATTGATAAGATAGATGCTTTCTTTCAGAGATGAGAGGGGTTGGGTTTTAGATGAATTGCTTTTTTCCCCTGTAATAATGATTTGTTTTTGTCTTATTCCCTTCTCCAGAAATTGATAATTATCATTGTGATAGTAGTTGTGTTGCTGGGCATTTTAGCATTGATTATTGGACTTTCCGTTGGGCTGTAATGAGTGGCCTGCGGGGCTGCTGCACTGAAATGTAAGTAAAGGGGTGGTTCTCAGGGACTCTGAACTGGCTTCCCATGAGGAAACTGGCCTGGGACTTCACATTCCTCTTCCTTCCTCTAATGACTGTCCTTGGGCATAATGAATTTTCTAAAACTTTTGGTAGCCTGTGGATACTTACATCTCCTTAAAATTCTCTTCTCAGATCTGGCTGCATTAGATGGGTCAGGTCTCCTTTTGTTCCTGTTCTTTAAACTGTCCCTGTCTTCTGTTTTCTCTGAGTGTCTCCTGGCATACTTGAGCATCCCATTGACACGCAGGTGGATGTGAGGGAGTCTGTGTCTTGGATCTGGGGTCTGTCTTCTGAATTCCTACTGAATTCCTACACAGGTCTTGGGCTTTGCTTTCTATATCCTCGACACTGAGAATGAAGCTTTGTTTTGGGGTTTGGATCCTGTAGTTTTGTTTTGTGGTTGACTGGTTTGATCTTGAATGAGGTAATAGCTAACATTTCCCAAGTACTGAGTTGTAGCAAACAATATACTACACAACTTGTCCGTGGATACTCTCATGGGATAGGTAGTGCTAATGTGCACATTTTAGAGAAATTGAGTCTTAAAGAGAAGTAAGTTGAACAGCACTAAGTTCACATAGCTAATAGTGGACCTAGGGAGTTCTTTATTCTTTACTACATTTTACTTTGTCTTTGTAAAATAAGGTAGCTATTTATCATTGTCTACAAAGTCTAGAGAATTTTTCAGAGTGACTTTAAAATCAGTGCTATTAATTTTCTTAAAAATTTGTTTTCAAAAGATAGGGTTGATCATTAAGTAGCAATTAGCATGACAGAATGATCTGGTTATGAAGACTCTGATTTTTAAGATTTTTTTCTGAATAAAATGTAGCATGTGTAGTTTTTTTAAAAGCCTATAAAGTGTAGAAGAAATGAAAATAGCTTTAACGTTATTGCTAGTAACCCTGTGGCATGTTCACACACATACTCAGTTTTATACAGTTCAAACTATATTATCTATTATTTGTGCCCAGTGACAAAATCATAAGGATCGTCCCACACACAAATCTCTTTGTAAATCTAATCTTCAACATGAGATTGTGGATATGCTTTCAAACAGTTAACACTTTCTCAACATTTTTGTTATAACGCAGTGTGACTAACCTTATGTAACATTTCCCCCCTTTTTATTTCTTCCTCATTGTAAATTCACAGAAGTTGAGTTTCTGAGGTAATAGAAAGAAACATTTTTCAGACTTGAAAATGTCCTTATTGAGACCCAGAGCTGCCCCTTTGTGTTTTTGTACTTAGTTCCAGTGTGTTTCTTCATTCCTCTTTTTTTCTTGTGACGAGCAGGTCTGAAAGTCAGATTATTAATCATATCACTAAACACGTACCTCTTCTTGAGAGAGAAACAGTAGCTAGGTGACCGGCTTCTCAGAGGCACTTAATTATTGGTGTTTTTTTTCTCCTTTTTTCTGACATTTGCCATGTAGTCCTTGATAGCTTTTTGACTGTAAAGATATTGAGTTTTGTCCTGAATCTTAACTATCTCATTGGAAAAGACTTTTTTTTTTTTTTTAAAGGTGTGATAGCTATCTTCCCATATCCTTGGTTGATAGATGCCTTCCAAATTCAGGTGCCCCTTGCAAATTCATGCCCATTTCCAGGAGTCCTGAATGTAAATGAATCATTTTTGAGGTGACTCCTCATGGATAGGAGACTAATACATTGTTTCTAGTTGACTAACCCCTTCTATAAGATGATAATTTGCTGAAAAGTTGCTCCTCATGGTTCATTCCATATTCCCTAACAAAGTCAACACTTACATTACCTAGGTTTGGACACCCTCATCCTTGCCACCTGAGGGGACGAGGTCTCTGAATAGGAGGGAGTGAAGGCAAGCTGGGACTATGCTCCCTGGACAYACATCAGCTATAGCTCTAAGATACTATCAATGTCCCCAGTTTAGATGGGGGAAACTCTTTGAAGCTCAGAAGTTAAGAAATTGGCCAAGCTTATGTAGATTATAAGGTGGAGCGGTCATAATATGACATTCGAACTTTCCCATATTCTTTTCATTTTGCCCTTCTGCTTTCTAAAGGGCATAGAGATTTGAGTACCAGAAGGCTCTGGAACCTAGTACTCAAGAGGAGAGCCAGAGAACTGATGTTTTAAGCCAGCAGTGATTGCCCCCACCCAAGTCTTCCCAATGTTGTGACAGCCTGTCTCTCTCACACAGACTTATACAAGGCCCACAGAATTTGCTTTCCGTTGCTCCCTTAGTTGGGATCTTTGTTCTTTTGCAGTGGAATATTTAATCCCAGGCCCTATCTGGGTTTGTTGGTTGGCTTTCTTTTTTTGTATTTTTTATATTCTTTTGCAGTTGCTTTTGATCATTGCACCTTCCAGGGTTGTGAGTGGTTTCTCCTGTTGCTCCTCCTCCTCACGTGGTACGCTGATCAGCTCCTCTCCCCGCCTCTCTTAGAACCTGATTTCACTCCAGCCTGGTGGGACCACTTTTATCTTCAGATGGGAATGGAGTCTGAATGGCCTTCCTGAGAGCAAAGGGAACCCGTTCCTTTGTTTCCTTGTAACCATCCTTGGACCTGACTCAGCAATCAATCTAGCCCTGGAGGAATCTAACCTACCTGATGCAACCCCCAAGTTCTCCTCAAAACCAACTCCTGCCCCAGCAACTGAAGTACCTTTCCTCCTGGACCGTATGAACTGACCCAGCTTTTTCCCTCCTGTGGTGTGTCAAATTATGCCTTGCACCTTGGAAATCCCATGTGAGACTATCCCAAGGTGCTGCATCTTCTACCTCATGGAGTATACTCCCAGAAATTACAGTGTATTTTTCTAGGGGAGTATCTTTAACAAAGCAGATGGATTCTTCTAAATTTGGCAACAATAGGGTTTTGATGGAGGACTTCTGCGTGGCAGGATGCCAGTCCTGTGGGTCCTGAAAACATGAGTGACTGGCAGATGCCATTTTGGTCCAAAAAGTTGACTTGCTTGAAATTCAACTTCAAATTAAGATCAACCTGGGGGGCCAATTTGGTCTTTCTTTAGGTTGTGTTCTCATGTTTACTCAAAGAGGGACCAGGATGATAGTCATCTGAGGTTGCCATTTTCAAAGGCTGAGGATTTCCAACATTTGTTTCCCTATGAATTTTGGAAACTGGCTTTTCACCTTTGGAGTGACTCTTTGTGAAGCTGTTGCCCTGAGGCCAAAATTAACCAGGGATTTAAAATTGGGCTGGGGACAAGGTGCTAKAGTCTCAGACTCTGAAAAGGTTTCATGAGGCTGAGTGTTCAGTCACTCATGTGTTCAGGTATATTTTTAAAAATGTGTATGTGAGATGCATGTACATATATGTGTCTGTTTCTCAGGAAATAGGAAACTAGAAAAGAAAGATACTATGACCTCAAAAATTAAAAAAAATTTTTTTTGAGCTAGACTAAAAATTAGATAAGTTGCATTTGTTTACCTGCAAATGAATCATTGTAGAATTATGATCATCTTATGTCATCAACAAAGTTGTTTTCTAGAAGAGAACTGGGAGAATCAAATGAGATATTCAGACTGAGGACTGAGTTGATTTCTGGTTTCTGTGCAGCAGGTAAAGGTGTAATAGTTTGACACCTTTCCCTGTCTGCTGCCTCCACTAGGCTTTCATTGAGAACATCCCACAGCAATCCACATGACCTATGGGATGTCCTGTCTTGGATGGAGTTAGTTGGGAGAGACCTGAGACTACCTGCTACTGGGTGAATGTGCTTGACAGGTTCTTTGTTTTCCCCAGTTCTTGTCACAGAGGAAGCAACAGCCAGGAAATTTTCGTATAGTGACTACTAAGCTGTAGGTAGCCCCTTAGATCCCTGCCAGTCTCCCTGATTTGGGGTACTAGCTGTATTTCAGCTTTGACAGTAATGCTTTCTAAGGCAGAGAAAGCACCCTGATCCAGGCACTGCCTATTAGCTTCCTGTGCAAAGGCTCCTCACTTCTCACTACCCAGCACTCAAACAGAGCCACAGGGATGCCCTTCTCCCCATGGCTATGAGGTTAGAAGACAGGCTGTAATCTCAGGCCTTTACTATCATCTGAGACTGAGGCCTGGGGCTTTAAGTTTGGAATGCAACACATGAAGGGTTTTTGTATTTTTTTAAATGTAAATTTGATTATTTTATTGTTAATTTAAAAATAAATGACTTTCTAATGATTGCAAAACAGTTCTGTCTCTTATCTCCCTGCAAACACTTGGTGATCTGGTGCCACCATGTGGTGGTTTTTGTTCAGGTTTTAGGACTCTGATGGTTTAGAAAGTTCAATTTTTTGAAAGTAGCTTCACTCCCAAAGAATGCGGTGTAACTGTACTTGAGTTTCAGAGTTGAGGTACTTCTCACAAAAGAATTTGTTCACTCGTTCAGAGCACCCTGCTATTTTTCTGTGAACACTCCGGGTTCCAGAAGCCAGATCCATCACTCTTCCCTTCTGCTGCTCCTTTTCCCTTTGTACCCTCCTCCATGTTCAGAGGCACCTGTCTTCCTTTAGTCAGAACTGTCTCCTTCACAGTGATGTCATTGCTCATGTGCTTTTTCTTTCCTTGTCTGGATGAGCAGAAGAAGATCATGATCATGATCTGCTGTGTTATCCTTGTGATCATCTTGGCTTCCACCATTGGGAGCATATTTTCCTGAAAAAGGTGAGCTGTCATTGGGGAGGAGGGTCAGGTCTGCTTTCACTAAACACTCTTGTGTTTGGGAGCATTCACTGTTTGTTGCCAGTTTCCCTAATCTGTGTGTGATGAGGTGCTAGAATAGGTAAAGAGTAAACTAAGGAAAAGGATGTTTCAGATAAAAATGAGTGGAGCTGGTAGCAGTCAGTGGGAGAGCAAGGAAGAAAGGAGGCAGAAATCTGTCCCATAACTGCACCTAGGAGCAGAATGCTTTGTACAGGTCAAATTGTTGATTCCTGCTGTAAAAATTGAGCCTTGGTGTCTGGGAATGGCAGAATGAGAAAGAATTAGCTCTTGCATTAGGTGGACCCTGAACTGGGGTTAGGATAAGTTAGTGTAACCTTGTGAATACTGTCTTACCCCTACTGAAGAGGGAGTTGTTTGAAAATAAAATACCATGCTCTACAATCTATGATTTTCCCCCCTCCATTCTTCTGTTATTTCCTTCTGCCCTCACAGATGGATCTTCGTGGCATTTCCAATCCTTCTCCCACCTTTGTGGGGTCATCACTTCTCCACTGCAGACTCCTCATCAGCTACACCTCTTTCCATTAGGCAACTTATTATGACACAAGGCATCAATCAACTACTTATTACGTTATGCAAAGGGAGAATGTATGCAAATATGGAAATGGGAGGGGGAAGGAATGAAGGAACAGAGGGCACAGCAATATGTAGTTGGTTAGGCAAATGGTTTAAAGGAAGGGCCTGCAGGGTACATCAATAGGCATAATGGGTACCTACTTAGGAGATGACGATTGGAGCCCACACCAACAGGATGGCTGTGGAGAGGCAGTTCCTATAGCACACCCAGTTCAACAGGGTCTTCTGTGAACTGCTGTGAACTAAGATCAGCACACCTGTCACTTCTGCTTTTAAGGCTCTTCTAGGTCTCACCCTTGACCAACTATATATCTTCTTCCTTCTTCAGGGTCCAACAGTAGTCTTCAAATTGGGAGGTACCAGGCCTTGTCTTGCTCACTTTTCTGTCCCCAGTGCTTAGCACAGTGCCTGCCACTCACAGGTGCTCAAATATCTGCTGACTCAGCGATCTATTATTAATTGTGATTCCACTCACGGATGAGTGCTTGGGATTGACTCTTTAAAGGCATCAATGGGAACCTTTTAAAATTTTTTTTACTTATTTTTTTTATTGTCAGAAGCTGTGAAAGCTGACAGCCACTGGGCTGATACACTTAACAGCCCCCCCCCCGTTTTTTTTTTTTTTGTGGGTGGTGATGGTGGAGTCCTATTAGTAGCCTCTTTCTGTAAAGAAGATGGTTGGTTGCAGGATGGCAGTTCACTAATAGACCCCCAACAAAAGAAACATGTTTATATCAAGACTGAACCTCCAATAGTCAACATACCATGCTCTGTGGTCCACACAAACAGGTGAAGTGTGAGGTAAGAAAGGAGGAGTAAGTGGTCGCTTGCTTTACTTCTTCGTGGTATGTATTGCAGGCTGAAACTGTTGGTTGGAATGCACCAGCACAGAAGTGGTCCAGAGGCTGTGTCCAACTCAAGGTTGTTCTGTTCCCCTTTAAAAACTATGTATATGTGAGTTCCAATATGAATGATTTACTTAGTGATTACACTGCAAAAGGATCACTAAAAATACATTAAAAATTCATAGTACATGACTTGTTGAGGACCACCCAACTGTGAAGATGTGTACTTCTGAAAGTCGGTGATAAATTCTTGTTTTCTTTTCTGGAGATGTAATTTTTTTAAGAAAATGGGATAAAAATGACATTTTTATCAGTGTGCTTTCTATTAATTTTCAAAAGCAAATGGTTTAACATTTCTTGTAATTTGTGTTTCCTTTAGTTTGAATAGGGGCTATAACTGGCTAGCTCTGAAATATGGATTAATCTTGTTATAAACAGGGTGCTGGAACCATGGGAATTTGAATCACATGGGGTCCTCATTCATCCAGCAGTGGTAATTTGTGTGCCAGATGGCATACGGCACTGTGCTAATCCTGCAGAGACACAAAGAGCCTAACACTCCCCTCCTTGGAGACCTCCAGACTAGGAGGCACCATGTAATTTCAACTTTTAAGTTCCTTTGCTAAAAGCTATGTTCCTTGTCATATTGTCCAACATCCCCTCTTTCCAGATTCAAAGAAGATGGGTAGATGGCACCAATAAATATCTCTTGAATCCATTAACCTATTAAGTGTCATTATTTTCTTTGTTACTACTCCAAAAACATTTGTATCTCTAACTAGTAAATGTCATGGAAACTAGTTCCTGAAGTGTGTACACATGAAAGGCAAGGGCGGACATTTTAAGTCAGACTTTCATGAGTGATGAAGACATTTATTTCACAATCCACGAGAACCAAGAACTTTGTTTTTAATAATCATTCTTAATTTCTTAAGGGATTAAAGGTGACCAATGAGAAGTTATACCCTCAGGTTACACTCTAATTTAAAAAAACAGATAACACACTGCTTCTTAGATATAACCTAAGACATACCTGGAGTCTTTAATGGTCAGGCTGTAGAGAAGAAAAGTGCAGATCCCCCTCTCAGCAGCTCACGTGCATGCATTCCTTGTGCCCTCACTACACCCGTTCGGGCATGTAGAATTTGCCCCAGTATCGCCCCTTCTGGGTCAAGTCATATGGGCTCAGTACTTTCCGTATCCCAAGCATGTTGGCAGTGGCTATACGCTCAAAGGTCCAGGGGTTTTGGTTGTTGCGTTCTCTTTCTTCTTGATCTTTCCGCATCTTCTCTAGGGTCTCACGACTCACAGACTTTGCTGGGAAGGGCAACTTGTGGGCAACCTGGTTCAGGAAGTGCTGTACCTCTCTGAATTCACATCGCCCACCCATCTCGACTATGAGGCGGCCAGCCTTCACAGGTGTCACATAATGATCAATGGCACCTTTGCCTCCCCCCATGCGCTGTCCAATTCCTTTGCGCGTAATGGGCTTGAAAGGGGCTGGTACTCGCCATATGGCAAACATATTCTTGGGGTCCATAGAGCGGTTGATTGTCAGGCGCATCATTTCAAAATGGCCCCAATGGAGATAACCACCTCCCAATGCCTAAAAGTAAATGAGAGAATTAGAAACACATGGGAACTTAGATGTCTTTAGTGGGTTTTATTATGTCTCCCTTTTTTAGAAACCATGCCTCAAAGATACATATGAAAATGTAAGTTCTTACTAAGAAGTACCATGGAAGAAAAGCCTAGCATATGGTAATAAAAGAGTATGGTAGACCCATTCCAGTGGTGAGCCAGGGTAGGCCTCTGAAGAAGTGACATTTAAAGCTGAGGACAAAATAATAAAAACTAGTTAAGGCAAGAGAATGAGTTCCAGGTAGAGGAACAGTTTATGTAAAGAGCTTGCTGAATGGGAGTAAAAGCCAGAGTGGCTGGAGAAGTGGGCATGAGGTTCTAAGAGGTCAGCAGGGGCTATTCATGCAGGCTGATGAACTTTGAAATGTCTCCCTGCTGGATGAAACATAAAGCTCAGTGCACCTGTTTGTATAGCTACTCAATTAGTTTTTATGGAAGTTACTCAACAAATAAAGGAACAGCTGCCTCATAGCTGAAGTTGTGGATAGTTTTATTTTTACTGAGAGTCTGAAGAGATCTCATGGTCTGGCTGGGCAAATTAGTCTCTCTTCTGCTTTTATATTATGGTAGTTCCCCCAACTCCTTCATAGTTTCTCTTTCTGTGGTTTCAGTTATCTACAGTCAACCACAGTCTGAAAATATTAAATTAAAAAAATATGAAGTAAACAATTCATGAGTTTTTAAATTGCATTTTGTTTTGAGCAGCAAGATATCCTCTTCCACTCCATTCCACCTGGACATGAATTATCTTTTGTCCAGTATGTAACTGTGCTATTTAGGCCATCTATTAGTCACTCAGTAGCCATCTAGGTTATTAGATGCACTGTCATGGTATCACAATGCTTGTACATAGGGTTCAGCACCATCCATAGCCTCAAGCATCCAGTGGGATACTAGGAATGTATCCTTCATAGATAAGGGAGAACCACCGTATTTTCATTCTACATTTAAAAAGATATATGTATACAGGGTACCTAGTAGCCTCTATACATCTGTTTAAAGGGCAGCTAGTATGTGGCATCCCTGTGAGGCACTTCTAATACAGACTGGAGGAAGAGACTAGAATTGAAGACTTTGAAAATTTTTTTGTTTTTAATCTGTAGCTTCCTTCACTCACCAAAATTGCAAAATTGCCTTCTGTGAACTCAGTAGCTTCAGTTGAAGGTCCCCGTATGTCACTCAAATTTTTAGGTTCTCTTCTTACTTTTGGCACAAGTGGTACCCTTTCAACAAATTTAAGCTTGGGCTTTTCAGGGATGGAAATATCTAAAAGGAACACAGACAACCAAGAGTAAGTAAAGCTACATATCTCTAGAAAGAGTTATAACAGTAAATGGTAACTCTTAAGGAGTTACCTTTGGATAATAATTCCAAAGAAATATTACATTTTTCTTGTGAATGCATTTAGTAAAACTGCATTCTTCCAGCTATTGACAATGGTTAATGCAATTGCTTCTAAGTCTTTGAAGATAGCAAAGTTTTAACCTTGAAGCTAATGTGCATTTTTTAACCCCACTAGGGGGTTAACACCTATTAAAGGAACTGTTTGGAAATCATTATTTCTCTTAATCTTCACAACACTTTCATAGCCTTGGTATTTTTTTTTTAAACATTTAACACACATAAAGGTCAGTTAACTATCTGAAAGTGAATGCATGAGACAAATACATCACTATCACCCAGGTCAAGAAACATAATTTAAGGTAGAAAGTGTTTTTAATCTCTATAGATGAAGAACCTTAGGCCTGGAGATGTTTTGTAATTTGGTCTAGACTATCCAATTAAAACAGCAAAGCCAGATAATATGATTCTTTTTTAAAAAATAGTTTACTGCATCTCTGGATGTTAGGATAAAAGCATATTTTATTGCATATAAAAATAACTAAGTTCTTCATTTCTGCCACGTTTTTGTTGGAAAACTTACAACTTAAGAATCTTATCAATCAATGTACTGTCTTTGATATATGTAGAGGCTGTTATGCTGAGACCTGCACAATTCCTAATCTGTGCCCCAGTGTACTGGGTGAGGTTGGGTGGGCATAACCTCAGACCAGACACTTGACTTCTTTATCTTCTTTCCTTGGCAATTTGAGGGGTAGGGAATCAAACATCTTGTCATTTATGTAAAAAAAAATCTCGGTAGTAAAACAAGTATGGCTCCATGATGGAATCATAAAACAGAGGAGACCTCAAAGAATGATATTTGATATAATTATCAGTGGAATTATAAAATTATTACTATTCCAGGTTATAAAAGCTGCCTCCCAGCTTTCTCATGCAGCTAGAAATGAACTTGGTAATGCTTTTGACTGTAAGTCAGTATGTACTTCCCAGAACATAAAGTGATTTAACAATTACACGTTGAAGACCTTCAGATAGCCACATGCTTTTAATTGTTCTGAGATTTCCAGTATATTAAAAAAAGAATGGCAAATTAGTTTACAAAACTGAG